CTTGTGTCAGATCTTTGTCAGACACATGTATTACCTAACAAATTATGTCTACATGAGTGCAACACTCCTATAGTTCGACAACGTCGCTGACGGTTTGCAGATATTGTAGAGTCCTGTCATGATCACTGTCGACATGTCACAACATCTTGTGTCAGATCTTTGCCAGACACATGTATTACCTAACAAATTATGTCTACATGAGTGCAACACTCCTATAGTTCGACAACGTCGCTGACGGTTTGCAGATATTGTAGAGTCCTGTCATGATCACTGTCGACATGTCACAACATCTTGTGTCAGATCTTTGCCAGACACATGTATTACCTAACAAATTATGTCTACATGAGTGCAACACTCCTATAGTTCGACAACGTCGCTGACGGTTTGCAGATATTGTAGAGTCCTGTCATGATCACTGTCGACATGTCACAACATCTTGTGTCAGATCTTTGTCAGATACGTGTATTACCTAACAAATTATGTCTACATGAGTGCAACACTCCTATAGTTCGACAACGTCGCTGACGGTTTGCAGATATTGTAGAGTCCTGTCATGATCACTGTCGACATGTCACAACATCTTGTGTCAGATCTTTGTCAGACACATGTATTACCTAACAAATTATGTCTACATGAGTGCAACACTCCTATAGTTCGACAACGTCGCTGACGGTTTGCAGATATTGTAGAGTCCTGTCATGATCACTGTCGACATGTCACAACATCTTGTGTTAGATCTTTGTCAGACACATGTATTACCTAACAAATTATGTCTACATGAGTGCAACACTCCTATAGTTCGACAACGTCGCTGACGGTTTGCAGATATTGTAGAGTCCTGTCATGATCACTGACGACATGTCACAACATCTTGTGTCAGATCTTTGTCAGACACATGTATTACCTAACAAATTATGTCTACATGAGTGCAACACTCCTATAGTTCGACAACGTCGCTGACGGTTTGCAGATATTGTAGAGTCCTGTCATGATCACTGTCGACATGTCACAACATCTTGTGTCAGATCTTTGTCAGACACATGTATTACCTAACAAATTATGTCTACATGAGTGCAACACTCCTATAGTTCGACAACGTCGCTGACGGTTTGCAGATATTGTAGAGTCCTGTCATGATCACTGTCGACATGTCACTACATCTTGTGTCAGATATTTGTCAGACACATGTATTACCTAACAAATTATGTCTACATGAGTGCATCACTCCTATAGTTCGACAACGTCGCTGACGGTTTGCAGATATTGTAGAGTCCTGTCATGATCACTGTCGACATGTCACAACATCTTGTGTCAGATATTTGTCAGACACATGTATTACCTAACAAATTATGTCTACACGAGTGCAACACTCCTATAGTTCGACAACGTCGCTGACGGTTTGCAGATATTGTAGAGTGCTGTCATGATCACTGTCGACATGTCACAACATCTTGTGTCAGATATTTGTCAGACACATGTATTACCTAACAAATTATGTCTACACGAGTGCAACACTCCTATAGTTCGACAACGTCGCTGACGGTTTGCAGATATTGTAGAGTCCTGTCATGATCACTGTCGACATGTCACAACATCTTGTGTCAGATCTTTGTCAGACACATGTATTACCTAACAAATTATGTCTACATGAGTGCAACACTCCTATAGTTCGACAACGTCGCTGACGGTTTGCAGATATTGTAGAGTCCTGTCATGATCACTGTTGACATGTCACAACATCTTGTGTCAGATCTTTGTCAGACACATGTATTACCTAACAAATTATGTCTACACGAGTGCAACACTCCTATAGTTCGACAACGTCGCTGACGGTTTGCAGATATTGTAGAGTCCTGTCATGATCACTGTTGACATGTCACTACATCTTGTGTCAGATCTTTGTCAGACACATGTATTACCTAACAAATTATGTCTACACGAGTGCAACACTCCTATAGTTCGACAACGTCGCTGACGGTTTGCAGATATTGTAGAGTCCTGTCATGATCACTGTTGACATGTCACAACATCTTGTGTCAGATATTTGTCAGACACATGTATTACCTAACAAATTATGTCTACACGAGTGCAACACTCCTATAGTTCGACAACGTCGCTGACGGTTTGCAGATATTGTAGAGTCCTGTCATGATCACTGTTGACATGTCACAACATCTTGTGTCAGATATTTGTCAGACACATGTATTACCTAACAAATTATGTCTACACGAGTGCAACACTCCTATAGTTCGACAACGTCGCTGACGGTTTGCAGATATTGTAGAGTCCTGTCATGATCACTGTCAACATGTCACAACATCTTGTGTCAGATCTTTGTCAGACACATGTATTACCTAACAAATTATGTCTACACGAGTGCAACACTCCTATAGTTCGACAACGTCGCTGGCGGTTTGCAGATATTGTATAGTCCTGTCATGATCACTGTCGACATGTCACAACATCTTGTGCCAGATCTTTGTCAGACACATGTATTACCTAACAAATTATGTCTACATGAGTGCAACACTCATATAGTTCGACAACGTCGCTAACGGTTTGCAGATATTGTAGAGTCCTGTCATGATCACTGTCGACATGTCACAACATCTTGTGTCAGATATTTGTCAGACACATGTATTACCTAACAAATTATGTCTACACGAGTGCAACACTCCTATAGTTCGACAACGTCGCTGACGGTTTGCAGATATTGTAGAGTCCTGTCATGATCACTGTCGACATGTCACAACATCTTGTGTCAGATCTTTAACAGACACATGTATTACCTAACAAATTATGTCTACACGAGTGCAACACTCCTATAGTTCGACAACGTCGCTGGCGGTTTGCAGATATTGTATAGTCCTGTCATGATCACTGTCGACATGTCACAACATCTTTTGTCAGATCTTTGTCAGACACATGTATTACCTAACAAATTATGTCTACATGAGTGCAACACTCCTATAGTTCGACAACGTCGCTGACGGTTTGCAGATATTGTAGAGTCCTGTCATGATCACTGTCGACATGTCACAACATCTTGTGTCAGATCTTTGTCAGACACATGTATTACCTAACAAATTATGTCTACATGAGTGCAACACTCCTATAGTTCGACAACGTCGCTGACGGTTTGCAGATATTGTAGAGTCCTGTCATGATCACTGTCGACATGTCACAACATCTTGTGTCAGATATTTGTCAGATACATGTATTACCTAACAAATTATGTCTACATGAGTGCAACACTCCTATAGTTCGACAACGTCGCGGACGGTTTGCAGATATTGTAGAGTCCTGTCATGATCACTGTTGACATGTCACAACATCTTGTGTCAGATCTTTGTCAGACACATGTATTACCTAACAAATTATGTCTACACGAGTGCAACACTCCTATAGTTCGACAACGTCGCTGACGGTTTGCAGATATTGTAGAGTCCTGTCATGATCACTGTCGACATGTCACAACATCTTGTGTCAGATCTTTGTCAGACACATGTATTACCTAACAAATTATGTCTACACGAGTGCAACACTCCTATAGTTCGACAACGTCGCTGACGGTTTGCAGATATTGTAGAGTCCTGTCATGATCACTGTTGACATGTCACAACATCTTGTGTCAGATCTTTGTCAGACACATGTATTACCTAACAAATTATGTCTACACGAGTGCAACACTCCTATAGTTCGACAACGTCGCTGACGGTTTGCAGATATTGTAGAATCCTGTCATGATCACTGTCGACATGTCACAACATCTTGTGTCGGATCTTTGTCAGATACATGTATTACCTAACAAATTATGTCTACACGAGTGCAACACTCCTATAGTTCGACAACGTCGCTGACGGTTTGCAGATATTGTAGAATCCTGTCATGATCACTGTCGACATGTCACAACATCTTGTGTCGGATCTTTGTCAGACACGTGCCCACCGCTCGCCACCCATCGCTTTACTAGATTCTGCTTCCTGAACACTAAAACAAGACCTCACGAACGCTAGACGTGATCCTCGAGTTGATTGTAATCTTCCAGTTTCTTGCATCTACTTCCTTAATTCCAGAAGTTAAAACCACAGTACTCTTGAAAAATATTTGCTTTATTTAAATTAACATTCATGGTTTATGTTACGAATTGTCAAACGGAACACAATATGAAATGATCCATACGAATGGGGTGTTCTCAAACCAGAATCGTATTCGTTTGCGTACAATATGTTTATATAGCTTCATTTTAGCATATTTCCCGTATGGGAAATAAACTATTAGCCTACCCGAGGTCTAGTGGTAAGACCTATATATATATATACAGGAACGAGTTCGCGAAATACCATAAACGGACTATGAGAACAGGGTTTTATGGGATGTTCCATTGGGTAAAAACGTTTTTTTTTTCATTTTGACCCCAAAACATAAAACTTCAAAATTTATTTCCAAACCATTTCGTAGAGCTAAAAAAACAAATGATTTAGCACACTGGAGCCTTGTTGTGCGCTCAATGGTAATGGAAAAGATCTCAAAAACTGTGAATTTCATACTTTGTGGAGAGTTAGTTGTAAATTATTTTTCATAAAAAATTGTTATGATTAAAATTAATAGCTCCAGTATTGTTTATGTTTTTCTTTATGTTTTAGACTCAAAATAATCAGTAAATCATAGGCTTTAATTTCAGCTAATGACAGTTTGAATCTGATAAGCTCAAGATACTGTATTACTCAAACAAAATCATAAATATGATCATTTCTCGGATATTATATTTATTTTAATGCTGCCGAGTAGCATGGGTCCTCTAGTATTTTATTATCTTCCCTATAGCACTTATAGCAGCAAACCCAAGAAGTCATTAAACCTAACGCTATTAAGGAATTAATCTGACTTTATTAAATAAATATTTTATCGTATATCTAACCAGACAGATTGAAATTCTCTTAGTCTGCAGGTTTTTTGCGGTGGAGTATTTTTAATTGACATGATTATTTTTGTTTCAGATGAGCCAAGGCTGAGAGCACTGCTGCCTCAACACGGTATGTAGATCTAGTCCAACGACGCGATACTGGAGATGTTTCTAAAATAGTTTTGTCCTGTAAATTAAATATATAAACAACCATTCAATAGCACAAAATCAACAGAAAAAATAGTTTTAGATATGTCTTTGTTCGCTATGCATGAGATCAGCACACATTCATACTCATAGTGAGATATGTGTGTGTGTACCTTGTGCCTTCACGTAGAGGAAGTCTCAAAACGTGGCTGATTTGAAACAAATGCATTTGTAATTTAGTATTGATTAATACACACCCATACACAACCAATAGTTAATTAATTCTACTAATTCTTGAGTTTCAAATTCCAAGTTTAACTGTACATCTGATAGGTATCTGTTAAGTAGACTGTACGTGGGTTGGGTAACTGTGGAGTCTAGAGTACAAAGTGTGACTGCTCCAGTGACCATGAACAGATTGAGCCATTACAAACACATAAACGAGGGAAAGCACGCGACACGCGGCGGCCGTGCGTGCAGCGCGTGCAGAATGGCGGGAAAAGGCCACTGTCGACTGTTACTGTCACTGTCACTTTCCTCAACGTGTCCATGTTTTTATTAGGGTTTAATGTTGTTACAATAGATGGTGGTGATGATGCATGTTGATTATATTGAGGTTGAGACAGTAGCTCCATCATGTTGTGTCTACAGTTATAGTTTTTTTTATAAGTACTCGCGTGCCGCATTTAAACTTACCATGTCACATGTACCGGTACTATTATATCCGTGCTTTGCAACGGGAAGAGGACACAAAATATAGAAACATTTTGATCTTTACATCTGTTGTATAACATAGTTACACATCTGCCAACGCTTTTAGAAGCAAAATTCAACCCTTATGGCCTTTATAGAACATGTCGGTGTTGCAATAATTAGCAATTATTCATCATTATTTTCATTTAATTGGTCATAGATAGCTGAAGTTCAATTTTTATATTTAACTATAGCTGCTGTACCCGTGCTTTGCAATGGGAAGAGGACTTAGAGAAGAATTTTTAGTTGTGGACACACGAGCCGGCGACAGTTGAATTTCAGAACACACTGATCCCGTCGAAGTCCGTTTTGCCGGAGCCGGCGTCAGTAAATAAATCTAATATATAAAATTCTCGTGTCACAGTGTTTGTCTGCAAACTCCTCCGGAACGACTTCACCGATCGTTATGAAATTTGGTGTGTAAATTCTGTAGGTATGCGAATCGGACGTAAACTATTTCCCGTTTCGAAATTCTTAAAAGGGCTCCGCCCCAGTGGCTCTGGAGTTTCCCATGTTAACCTTATGAGAAATGGAATTACTGAATCTTAACAGCTGTTTCAATTAAACAAGTTGGTTCTGTTCTATGATGTTCAATAGCATTAAAGTTACAAGGATTACCAACAGGGTGCATCACTATTATTTCTTTTACATTTATGACAACAGCTAATTTGCAACCAAAAGGTGAGTGAGCGTAGCGAACGAACTTCAACCTGGAGGCGAGTGAGCGTAGCGAACGAGCTAACCTGAAGGCAAGTGAGCGCAGCGAACGAGCTCTAACCCAAAGGTGAGTGAGCGTAGCGAACGAACTTCAACCAGGACGTGATTGAGCGATGCGAGCGAGATCATCTTGAAAATTAAACGTAACGGTACTTTCTTTCCATCGGTCTGTCTTAGGGGAAACCTATAACTTAGGCGATACGAAGTTCGCCGGGTCAGCTAGTAAATAAATAAATCTTTATTGGTCATTAAAAAACAGATGTTACAATAGACCTCGTCAACAAAAAAGGTGCCAAAAAGTAGGTGCCATAGATTCTAGATAGTATAACATGGTCTATAACATGGAATCTTCACTAAATATAACAAAGACAACAAGAAAATAAATAGTTAAAAATCATTTGAAAACACAGTACTTCATCTATGACAGAACTATATACAGAAACAAAAAGTGAGGTACTTAATCAAAGTGTTTGAAAAACTAGGTGACAGTTGACTAAGGACTAAGTAAGAACTAGATAACAATTTTACCATTACAATTGTTTACTGCAAAAAATTCATCCAAACTGTATAAAGGGAGGTCAGCAAGCCAAACTATCAACTTTTGTTTCAGCCGAGTACAAGGAATGTCAAGTAGTTCACTTGCAAAGCAATTAACTATTTTTACCGATAGACTAACTAGCAAAACTGTGCTGTACTGTATTTAGTGTTAGTCTGGTGTAGGGCCTATCCAAAGCAGACCTTCCCCTTGTGCAATATGAGTGAAAAGTATTTCTAGACCTAAAAAAAGAAGATTTTGTTTTACAAAAATAACATACTCTAATATATACAAATTTACAGTTGTCAGGATACCTGTTGTTTTAAAAAGAGGTTTACAATGGTCCCTCAACCCTGAATTGGTCAACAGTCTTACAGCCTTGGACCGACATGTTTCGTGTCTCTTGGGCCCGCGCATGCGCAGAACACGTTTCTAGTAGTTTTGGCGCTTTTTTACTTACTTAATTGCATTATGGTGTGAAATGTAGTATTGTGATATTATAATACTTTAGTTGACACCATAAGGAAATTACGTAAGTACTGTAATACAATTAATTACAATGTATTTTTGAAAAATTGCCATGAAGTTATCTTTTTTGTAGAAAGAACAACACCAACAACACATCATCTTCTTCTGACGATGACATTATATAAACTGATTAATGTTGTGATTCCTTTATGGTGATTACTGTCATGTCGCCAGCACGTGCCTCTTCCCATGGTGGTATTTTATTATATGTCGCAGACATCATGCCCGCGACATCAGAAATATCGGCGATATTATATCTGCGGTACCGGTGTGTAACCCGCCTGAATAACACGGAATTTTAAATTTATATATTTTTTTAATTTTCTCCGTAACCAATAACCGTACAAAAACACTTTAGTATGCTAAATTATTTTTTTAAAGTTCTACAAGATAGGTAGTTTAGAGAGAAATTGGGAAATTTTATGTTATGATTGTCAAACATGAGAAAACCCCATACAATTTTTACCCCATAAAACTCCGTTCCCATGGTCCAATCACACTGGTTCACAAAAAATTATGTTTACACTTTTTTATCAAATTTCATCAAAATCGGATCATTTGCTCGAGTTATCATAGGACGGACATATATACTGTATATATATCTATGGTGTTTTTGGCCTCTGGGGACATCAAAATGAAAAAGTAAATGTGTCCCGGGTCCAGGTCTTACCATTAGACCTACAGTAATAGCTTTTTCCCTAAATGGGAAATTCGCTGAAAAATAAAATAAAATACCATTAACAAACATCAGCTGATATAGCTTCAGCAATTTTGTTGTGCCTTTTCAATAGTGTTTCAAAATATTAATGAAATCGTAATATCTACCTATATAACTTAAAGTTGGAAATTATTAATTTACTGCATATAAGAAATAATTCCAATTAGGATTATTTTTTAATAAAAAAATAAAGAAAACTTTGTATCTTCAGTAGGCCTACATATGAAATTTGGAAACAAACTAAACTGTAATATGATCATCAAAACATCAAAGATTAAGAAATTTAACAGTAAACATGACTCATTATATCTCTAATTTCATACTACAAAAATATTAACGAACAACACAATATACAAACCAGTTCTTTCTACCCGTTCTATTCATGGGTAGGCCTACATTCTATTCTTTCATTCATACGCTTATTAAGTTAACACACATTGATTAAGGAGACTTAGTTAAGTTATTTCATTGATTTTAGAAACAAGAGACACTGTGTACAACTTAATTTCATGATGATAAGAAATTAAATAATAGTGTAAAAAGTTGTACTCTTGGATTTGTAAACAGTGTAAATTCATATAGGCTAGTTTTGTAAAGATACGTAAGTTTAAACATCTATCAAGCAGTTTAAATTTGTTAGTAAAATATCAAATTGGTTAAAAACATGTACACCTTTATTATAGTTTTCTTATGGTTTCTGTAAAAATATATTGACAAGTCTACAGTTTCAAAACTCGGAGACGAAGCCTAGGTTGATGCAGCATTACAGCATCGGTTATGGGATCTTAGGCTGTAGCTCCTAAACGAGTTGGTTTATTGAAATAATGTCAAGAATAATAACGTTTTGAAATTGTCGTAGCACTGTACTCAGTAGTGCGGGCGTTAATCCACGCCAGGGAGTATCGCATCCACAGATAATGCCTATATAAATATCCACAATTCGTGACCTCCAACTCTCCAAGTAGCTGGACGACGCCATTAGAAACGTTGTTTCACTGAAAGTGGTTTCTGTACTGTGAGGCATGATCCATTATGAAAATGTGTGCTTATGTCGATTAAATGTTTTCATTAGATTAACAAATAACATGCAAATAATGTAACAAGGCATGCATTTATCCATGCATTTTTACCTGTACCCCTTTTGTGGGATTGTTCCTTGCATAGAGACAAACAGATTGTGCAATATAACCATGGGTCTCACATGCCTAGTTGTTCGTCTATCTGCTCGTATGTGCTTTTTACAAATTTCCTTTTAGCTTCCGCTTCAACAATAGAATCTTTAAAATTGATACATACATGTAACATTACGTTACAATGAACTTCGAAAATAGTATATTACGTTACTAGTCCTGAAAATAAGTGTTTACCGGACGAGTGTGGTCGTTCCTGTGCGAGACGACGTCGAGTACGGGATTACCATACGAGTCCGGTACACACATTTTGGACGAGTTACGTACGATAGTTTACGCCATACTACTAAATCCGTACAAATCCTTATATATTTCCATTAACTAAAGGACTAAAAATCACTAGTCATAACCTCTAAGAGAGGTTATGTTTTTGTTTATAACTACTCACTGCCACCTAAATACAGTATAATCAGCTGATTGGTGTCCGGCAAAACTCATTGCAGCACAGTAGTACGCAATGAAACCCCATTTGAATAAGCTGGCGGCAAACAGCTGTTTTCTGGACTAATTCCTTGCGTGGGAAGTTCGTCAAAATAATGTAGTGTGGCGTAATAATTATTTTTGTATCTTTAACCATTTTAAAATGACGGCTATTTAAAATTTTAAATCTTTAATAACACGAAAACAAAGAATGTTATCTAAAAACACAAAGGGTATTGTTAAAATTTAAAGACAACTTCAACTAAGAGGTTGCCATTTAAAGAGGTGCTAATGACACCCTAAACAACAAAATAAGTCAAAAAACAACTAAGTTATGACACTTTTTATCACCCAATTTTTAAATAAGCTAACAAGCTATATGACATTTAAAATGTTTAGCACAGTAAACAGTATACTTCAGCAAAGTAGTCAGAACCCATAGTGTATAGGAGCATAGTATGGTTGCTAGTAGCGCCTTCAAGCCGTGGAACAGTCTGCAATGTTGGTATGTAGTCAGTCAGCTACCACACATCGACAGGAGTGTACTTTACTGTACAAGAAACAAATTATTGAAATTAGTACCTATGTAAATTATTTTGTCTTGGCGCTGAAGTCTGGGGCTTCGAGGAAAACGAGCATGTGGAATCTGTGTTAAAAATATTTATTCAGAAGCTCTTTAGACTACCGTATAATACCCCGAATTATGTCCTGTATATAAATATAAACAATACAACCGCCGCAGCAAACCTGACGACTAAACGAATTTCCATTCGTCTGAATTGATTTTCAATTAAATATATTTAAATAGCATTATGTTTAACGAGTACCTAGGTTTGCTGCTACAATGAAAGCTAATTAAGTTTGTTTATCTTATAGATACAGTACGTAGTTTTAACTTGGGTTTTAATGGAAACCAACACTAAACCTGAAAATAATAAGAAAGCTGGTCTATCAACCTTTGCTTCAGCTGTTGATTGTGGTTAGTCATCAAAAGCCCCTTGGTGGGATTACGAAGATAAAATTACCAGATGAGTTTTAAGATATGCTTAAGACTAGATAATAATTAATTGCAAAGAAAGAATCTCCATATAAAATGATAATTACATTGAAAAAATAACATAGTTTGCTCCTGCTAACAGCTCTTGTCAAGGACTATTCCTAGGCTATGCTATAGGATTAATATGAATACCAAGTTCAATTAAATAGGAATAAATCTGTTAGTCCTTGTAAGAACAAGGACCAACTTGCTATAGCCAACTTGTGACATAGCCAAGTAGGCCTACATATTATTTTTACTTTATAATTTTCAACATGTTTAAATTAAAAAGCCGATTTCAGGATAAGTTGCTGAATACTGTTTTCTGTACCAACGTTTGTTAAAGCACAATTTGCCCAATACATTATGACAAAGGACGATTTCTTGACATTGAAAAGTGTTATTCATAGAACAAGTAACTTATCACTATTGTTAAAAGTTATAGCGATGTCGTTTTAAACATTAAAGATAAAGAAAGGCAATAAACTCCAATTTCCGTAGGCTAGGCTCTGTAACACAAACAAGTATTTTTAAATAATCGTTTTACAGTTTTATTGTTTTTAATAGTTGATATAAGACATCTATAAATAAATGTACATTAAAGAAATAAAATGAGCTTTTAAAATATAGTTTGGTTGAATGTCCTTTGAACTTAATGAAATTTACATAAGATGTTAAAAAATAATGCAATACGTATTAAAAAATAAGTACTAAATATGACTGGACACCCAACTATTTTGGTTGTGTTGTTGTAATCTTTAGGTTTATGATGCCAACAAATTAAATACAATCTAGGAATAAGTTGTTTTCCAAGAAATGTTAGGTACAATACAAACATTGTTGACATTTTGTTGTTTGAGTGTTTGTTCAATACAAATGTAGTTTCAATTAATTTTACATTTAGGACTACAAACTGTGCATGGAATAAAAGTAACGTCTTTGAAAATGTAGTTATAATTGTAGCTATAGCTACATTTCATTGTACAGTTGTAGCTAGCTACATTTTAAAAGTAGCTTCCCCAACCCCAACACTGGGAAATTCGCTAATAACACAAAAATATTTAAAAATACGGGTTTTTTTTCCAAATTATGAAAAATGTACTTATCATATAAAAAATTTGTAAATGTAAGAAAGATAACATGTAAACTTTCTTCGAAACAAAAAAAAATTATCCCGGTCCGATACATGGTATGCAAGATACAGTCATTTTTAATATAGCTCTGTCCGCCATTTTGATGACGTCATAACCGGAATATGCAGTGGGTGCAGACGTGACACCCAAATTGAAAACACTTCTTTAGACACCTACATCAATATTAAATGGTAAAACATTATACATATGATATGTACAGGGTGTCACAAAAAAGTGTGATGGGCTATACAGGACCTAATTCTACATGCAAAAATAAGTCAAAAATGAAGAATGAATTTTTTTGGATTTCGGCTTAGTTTAGCCGTAATCCGCCATTTTGTTTTTTGGGGAAAATATTTATTATTTCAAAATCCCTTTGAGATATTTTTACGAAACTTGGAAAAATTGTTTACACTATAGTAAGAAACATTTATAAAAAAAATTATTATTTTAAGTTTCCAAATTTCAAAATGGCGGCCGTTTGAATTTGTTAATGCCAAATTTCATGAAAACCGGTACCTAAATCAAAATTTTGTAAGACACAAAAGTTTTAGTATTTATTATGACAAATCCAACAAAACAAAAATGAATAAAATCGGTTCATAAATAAAGAAGCTGTGTTTATTTTAGTAATTCAGACTGAAATTATTAATATTAAAATGTATTAAATGTAATGTAATAATTTATGTAACGTATTAAGTAATTTCAGTCTAAATTACTAAAATAAACACAGCTTCTTTATTTATGAACCGATTTTATTCATTTTTGTTTTGTTGGATTTGTCATAATAAATACTAAAACCTTTGTGTCTTACAACATTTTGATTTAGGTACCGGTTTTCATGAAATTTGGCATTAAAAAATTCAAACGGCCACCATTTTGAAATTTGGAAAGTTAAAATAATAATTTTTTTTATAAATGTTACTTACTATAGTGTAAACAATTTTGCCAAGTTTCGTAAAAATATCTCAAAGGGATTTTGAAATAATAAATATTTTCCCCAAAAAACAAAATGGCGGATTACGGCTAAACTAAGCCGAAATCCAAAAAATTTCATTCTTCATTTTTGACATATTTTTGCATGTAGAATTAGGTCCTGTATAGCCCATCACACTTTTTTGTGACACCCTGTATATATGACTTGCACATAGCCCTAGATGTCGGACTAATAGGCGTTTTTGCGCCAAATTATGTGTTTTTGTGAGATTTAACTATTTTCTTGACCTTATCTTTTAAGTAAAGCATATCATGGTACTTTTGTAAAGCTTTTTAAACATTCTACAACCTTTCCCATAGGTTGTTTCTTATATATTGTATCAAACAAACTTTACTAACAAAAAATACCCCTGCCGCAGCAAACCTGCAGACTTAGCGAATTTCAACTTGTCTGATTACATTATTACTAAAATATTTCCATGAATAAGACATTTATTCCCAATTTAAATAACATTAGACTTAACGAGTGCTTAGGTTTGCTGCTACGGGGAAGAAAAAAAGTGTTTTTGACCATTCGTCAATAGTATAGGATGAAATAAATAAATTTGCCAAATTTTATCAACATATATCCATAAACAAGTAAACCACAACAGTTTTCATTTTCTCCATAAGAATAACATGGGAATTTTAAATTGCACTATTTTTGAATTTTCTCCGTGACCGTTAGCAAAGATTACATATGCCGTTAGGCATACAACAGCGCTTCAATTTACTAAATTATTTATTTTTTTAAGCTCTACAATACGGTTTAGAAAGAAATTGAAAAATGTTTTGTTTTTAGGGTCAAAAAATGGGAAAAACCCATTTTTACCCCCTGTTCCCATGGTCTAATTATGCTGGTTCGAATAAACGTAGGTTTACACATTTCCGTTTGTACCAAATTTCATCAAAATTGGATCATTTTTGCTCGAGTTATCGCGTTAACGGACACACACACACATATATAAATATTCTATGTTATTATTTCATATTATTTTATTCTATTATTATTTATATATATAAATGAATTTGAACGGATGGTGTTTTTGGCCTCTAGGGACCTCAAAACGAAAAATTATACTGGTCCCGAGTCCAGGTCTTACCATGAGTACTACAGTAATAGCTTATTCCCTAATAAAAAAAGGGTTTTTTCAAAATTACGGAAAATGTACCTACTAAACATACAACAAATGTGTAAATGTAAGAAAGATAGCATGTGTAAACTTATCTTTCAATCAAACAAAGTTTATTCTGATCAGACAAATAGTATGCCAAATATATACTTTAAAATAAATCCTTTGCCACCATATTGATGATGTCTTAGCCAGAAAACGTGGGGGGATAAACTCCCTAGACATTAAACTAAAAGGTTGTGCAAGAATATTTAGTATACGCAAGTTTGCACACTAAAGTATAACCATCTGCAGGACTATTTAGTTGATGTTTAATAATTGTAACACGATCATAATCTCAATGGAATAAACCAGTTGTCCAGGCTTAAGTGTACCAATAATGTTTATACCTATAAACTACCAATTATGTTAAATGATATGTGCCAAAACTGTTGGACAGCCCGCTACATATAATGTTAGATTGGATTTTGATTCAACTATAGCAGCAGGACTAGGACAGCTTACAACTTCTGTGAATCTGTAGAAAATTAAAGGTTTTGTTCTGGTATGACTTGCACTTTGTATCGGAGAAAGTCAAATACTTATACCTTATTATTGATTTCCTCTGGTATTTAAATGCACATGTGTGTGCACAAAATGTTTAATGAAAACCCAAATTAAAACTGCATCATGTGGTTCTGCTTTTTCGATAGTGTACGAGTAATCACATCATGCACAAAAATTAGTAGTCTGGTGTCAGGCTAAACTTATCATTTACACTCCAACTGCTTACTTGTTACTTTCATATAACCAGGGATAATTTCTTGCTCACGAAAGCTTTTATATTGCAGATGCTGTACGAGAGGCCCAGCATGAGCTGATGGAAAATGCACCACAAACTGCCCAGGTAGTGTTTATTCATGTATTCACTTAAAATGAATGATGATTATCTCAATTTAGGTGATTCATCATTTTAAAAAAATAAATGGAACCACCAATCTGACTTATAATTTCTCTCATTTACTTGTCAACAACCGTTATCATGAACTATCAGTGGGAGTGAGAAATTATGGTATTTTGAGTGTAAAATCACAAACGTTGCAATAACTTTTGAACCATAATTTTTACAGTATATACCTATTTGTTTGGATATACAATGACCATTACATACTAAATCTTAATCAAAATCGGTCAAACTGTTGTCCGCATTAATTTATGGTTTTTATGGGAAAATCACATAAGTTGCAATAACTCTTGAACTTGTAAGGCTTACTTACAGCGATGGTGGTTGCACCGTTTTGTTTAGAGGTAAAAAGGCTATACAGTTTTCCTTCCATTTTCCTTGAGAGCTGAAATTGTAATCTAAAGTCAACTAGCTCATTGATTAATACTATTTAAAATTCAAAACAAATTGAACCGGGTTTCAGCTTTTCCGGCTAATGTTGACTACGAGTATATACCAATACTAAGGCCTACTAAGGTATATTTCACAAGATCTTTGGACAGCCACCATTCAGTGCCGGATTTACCACTAGGCCGATTAGGCCGCGGCCTAGGGCCGCAAGCAAGAGGGGGCCGCAGAAGATTGCACAACAATTTTTTTAGATAAACAAATAATTTTTTTAACCATTAGTTTGCCGCCATCACAGGTGACCATAATAATGTTTCCATGATTGCGGCCCACAGAAGATGTTCACGATTTTGCCGCAGCCGTGGGTGTCGATGATGATGTCCCCGTGATTGCGGCATGCGGGAGATGTTAACGATTTTGCCGCGGCCGTGGGTGTCGATGATGATGTCCCCGTGATTGCGGCATGCGGGAGATGTTAACGATTTTGCCGCGGCCGTGGGTGTCGATGATGATGTCCCCGTGATTGCGGCATGCGGGAGATGTTAACGATTTTGCCGCGGCCGTGGGTGTCGATGATGATGTCCCCGTGATTGCGGCATGCGGGAGATGTTAACGATTTTGCCGCGGCCGTGGGTGTCGATGATGATGTCCCCGTGATTGCGGCATGCGGGAGATGTTAACGATTTTGCCGCGGCCGTGGGTGTCGATGATGATGTCCCCGTGATTGCGGCATGCGGGAGATGTTAACGATTTTGCCGCGGCCGTGGGTGTCGATGATGATGTCCCCGTGATTGCGGCATGCGGGAGATGTTAACGATTTTGCCGCAGCCGTGGGTGTTGATGATGATGTCCATGTGATTGCGGCCCACGGGAGATGTTAAGGGGGTACGCCACTATCTCTGGGCCACATTTTTTATTTATTTTACATTTTCCAAAAGTTGCATTTTTAGATAGGTTATTTAGTTGTGAACATTTACCTAAAAAATTTTTCCAATCTGACAACTCCTAGTATAAAATAAATAAAATATAAAACGCCGCAACCAGTAATTTGAAAAAAATTTGGACTATTTATTTTTTTTGTTGCTGATATTTACATTTTTGATTTTGTATCATAATTATGTATTATGAAGGTTTAAATTAGGGTACATTTATTTAAAACAAAATAAGTACTTTGGTATTTTTATATATAATATAAAATAATAAACTAGTGTTGTCATGGGGATTTTAGTTCTGCCAATCACCTGTTACATCACCTGCGATTATCTCAATACCGTGTTTTTTAGGTTGTTATTGTACAAAAGTTAGAATAACTCCGTTAGTACTATACATATAGTATTCCAATTTTCACCAGACCTTCTTTATAAAGTAATAAGGGATTGTGTGTATAAAAACCCCTATAGCATTACATTTACTAAAACTATTTATGTTTACGCTTAATTTTTAAATTTTTTTAGCTTTTTTTATATTTTGAATAAAGTGTCCTAAAAATCTTGTTTTGTTAGTTACCATAACGATTATACACAGAATGACTCATTATTTAATCCTGAATCAGGAAATAAATAGAATATGTCATTCAGTTCAGTAGTTAAAAAGTTATTCTCAATACCGAATCCCTAAAAATTTGGGTGAAAAAAACTAAAACCGCATATACATTTAGTAAATAAGTCATAAATTCAATTTTTTGGACCTAAATCTTCTAAATAAGTCGAGTATAAACAAAATATACTAATTAGGTTGACAAAAATTAAAAAATAAAAATAAAGTTGGAGATAGTGGCGTAGGCCTATCCCCTTAACGATTTTACTGCGGTCGCGGGTGACGGTGATAATGTCCCTTTGTTGCAGCCCGTGGGGATGTTCATGATTTTGCCACGCTCTCGTATACCTATGATTGCTTTGACTTGATTTAGGAGAGATGTCCACGATTTCATCCACGATCACGGGTGTCAATGATGATGTCCCCTTGATGCATAAGAGATATTCACGATTATTTCCGCGATTGCAAGGAATTTCCACCACAGGGGGAGGGGGAGGGCCGCTCAAGTAATTTGGCCTAGGGCCTCAAGTACCCTAAATCCGGCACTGCCACCATTTTGTAACGAATGAACCTTTTGAGACGCGGTTTCCGGCAATGAACTCCACTTGACTAGCTCTTTACAATAATGTGCATATCAACCTATGCTTACATTAAAGATTATATACCTACTCCTCATGTGTTGTCCCCTGGTGGAGGCCAAAGAATGGCAATTCTTGCAAAAAGTAGTTTTCGTTCACATAAGTTGATGTGAAATATTAAGGGTGTGGAGTGTTTGAGTAAATTGATGAAAAAATTAAGATAGAGAAAATAAAAGTCATGTTTTCAAGAAGAACAGAAATCAATTAAGTTTATTTGTACAGTATGAATCATTTTTTAAATCATCAGCTGTTCTAAGAAAAGGCTAAAGAACATTATTAGATAAAAGAACTGAACAAAGGGTGCGCTCTACCCCTGACGCGCCACCGAATGCAAGGGTTTGCAAGATATCTTTTTTCACCTGCTACATTGAAGGTAGAATCAAAGTTAAGGTCTCATATTAAAGAGGATGAAATTTTCTATAGTTCTGCGTTTCATTATTTCAATTATTAATACACACCTTATACACTTGATTTGTAGGACAAGAGAAAAGGTCTTTTCAACTAGCCCTAACTTACTAAAAAAATATTATTGGAAAAACGCAGAACTATAGATTGGTCTTTGAACTACTATAAGCCGTTTAGTGCGTAGCTATCATTATTGGTTAATTCGAAAAAGGAATCTTGGAAACCTCTGCAAGCGCTTCTCACGGCGCTGTCCAATGGTAAAACATAGCAACTGAAGCCCGAGCTGAGATTTCCGAGCTGAGGTAGAGCGCACCCTTATGTCGTTTCCAGACTTTTTTGTCACCTTGTATAGTTATAATGTGTTCGAAAAATTGTAAAAATGGAACGCATTAAAATTACAGTGAGTAAATTTAAATTAATTGGTATCACCTAGTTTTGAATACATGTATAAGAAGAAATATTTAATCTGAGTTCATTTAATCAATAATTTTGATGTGTCGTGCTATAATCAGAGTTGCAATCTCTTCTCTTTAAGAGCAAATCAAGGTTCTTATCATAAGAATTAACTTGTATAAGATTATACTAAACAAAAGATTATTTGTTGACTATTGACAATTTTTCAAATCTTGATGTTTGTGAAAAGGCCTCATAAATATCAGCGCTAAGACAAAAAATTGTCAATTGAACATAATTAATAAAAGCATAAAATGAAGCTGTCTGTCGCCAGTGGCATACTACATGTCATGTGTGTTTTGCAGCTGCAGTTTGCTGTAAGGAGGAAGCGGTTCACTGACACTACAGCACCTCTAGACATGTTGGCTGAGGCCAGTGAGGCAGCGAAGGAGACAGAACCAGTCGCAGACAGTCAACACTTCTTCCCCTCCTTCTCTCCTCTGTTCCATCCACTCGGTCACTCAAGACCACCATTCTACCAGGAGCAAACTTTCAATCCCAGGGCTGCTTACAAGCCTCACGATAACTTCGGCTATGGCTCTGGGTCATTCAGAGACTATTCCTTCCCTCAGGCCACAGCAGAAAGTGAGAGAAGTGCCAATGTTCTCGGGTCAGGTAACTTTGGAGTCTTGCGTGGAGGCACTTACTACCCTGGGGAAAACGATGAGCTTTTGAACGACGATATTTACAATAACTATTACAACAACGGACACGGACGACCCTCTTTCTACCCGGCCAACCCTCTTCCCTCGTTCAGACAAGGTGGTGACTTTTTTGCGAATTTCAAAGATTTTGCAGACATTAGCACCCCGACAAAATCGTCTTACTCAGAGTTTTATGTTGTTTATGTGAATCCAAACGCAACAAATCCTGAACATCATTCGGATTCCAGTTCTCATGGTTCCGCACCTAGGAATATTTTTGAACAGCTACAAATCGCCGATGCAGAAGAAAGGCCACAAAAGAAACTCTCCAAGGCAAAATTAAAACTTGAGAAATTCAAAACACATGAGCAAACTAAAGAGTTTTCAAAGAAACAGAAAGTGCAATCATCACCAAAAGAGATGTACGAGCCTTTGTTGGCACTGAGTTGAGTTAAGAGAAAATATGGGAGGATGTGACACCTTGCACCTATGGATAGGTTGGTTGATTGTATCAACCATAACAGGTTGGTTCTTGTGATGCTGAAACTGTACCTGTTGAATAAATTTTATGTAAGTATGGAGGATAACGTGCCAACCAAAGTTAAATTTGTTAAAGACACATATTTGTTTACATATTGTTGGGTAAAAATGGAAGTGCATTCTGTTTAACAGTTAGAGATCTATAAAATTAATTGTTTTACTTTCATTACCTACCTTTAAAATAGATGACATTGTCACAAATTCACGAAGGACACTGATGTTGACTTTTATGGACTTAAATAATTCATCCCCTTAAAAAAAACTGTTAAAGATGGTAATGAATAATTATTTGATTGTTTCTTTATTTAAATTTTAAAGAATTGTATTACTTAAGCAAATAAATATGTTAAGGTCACATCAAATTTATGGGAATGAGAACTAAATTATTACTGAATTAATTTTAACATTTTTCACACAGATACTGAACATTTGATGACTTTTAGGATTTTACTGTACAATACTTGTTAATACGGTTATCATTTGTATAAAACTGACAACATAAGTTAAGCCTTCTTGAAACAATCTTACCATAAGATAGATGTGTATATGCGTGTGAAAATGTATCAAGGCAACTCATTGAGCTCTAAATATATAGAGGAATAACTTATAACAAAATACATATTTTAGTTGTCATTTAGTTGATTGTTAATTTGATTGAAACAACCCTGACAAAATTAAGGAAATAACTTGTTTTATAAATTTGTCATCTTTTTGAGATCTGAGATGTATATAATTTTTTTTAATGCATCCTAAATAATAAGTACGAGCTGTAAAATATAAAATGTAAGATAAGGTATGTATAACAAAAAAATGTTAAATGCATCAGGTCTTATCTAATTTTCTTAGAAAAATCTATGTTTTGATCAGAAATTTATAAATCCTTTTATAACACAGCTGTAATAGCTTCTAAGAACAGTAGTCGAATGCAAATCATACACTGTAATAGATTTAATTTATAAACATAACACTTGTGTTATTCTGTTAATATGTAAATAAAACTGTTATATAATTGTGTTTACTATCTTAATCTCCTTTAATCTTCTAGTTAATTTTTCATCTTTAGAATCTTATGTTTAACCTTAGCAGTGGCCAACGAGCGTACCCTCAATCGCCGTGTCACCTTAGAATGGCCACAAGAGTAATACGCTCGTATGGGCCGAAATTGTTTTAACGGCGAAAAAATCACTTATAATCAACTCTGATATGAACAATATATATATATACCATTCGAAAGATCACATTCTGAACGTTCATTTTATTATATAAACAAACCCTGTAGCAGGTATATAACAATGTAACAACGATTAGAAATCAAATGAATTTTTGGCACGGCACGACTTTAGCAGCTGACGCTTGGGAACTGTCAAAACACAACTTGTTTGGCATTATCCTGTTCCCGTAATTTTCGCCTTGGAATGTTGCGGTTGGTACCACTGGATAGGCATTGATTATATCTTCATTTTAAAATTGATATTTAGAACGAAATATTGATTGCACAACAGGTCCGATTTTATGAAAACAGCTGTTTTCAAAATTTATAACAAATGGCCAACCAGCATAATACGCATTACATACAGTGTAAGTTATTATTTCTAGTCATATAATATGTCATTTTGAAGAGGATGAAATGTAGCTTGTGATAGTGGCAGCCCTGCACCCAGGGTTATTACCGTTTTCTCTCACTAAGACAACGAAAGTGCGTCACTACTGTCAAGGTCTTATACACAAAGTGCCTTATATTCGCCATTGCGTGTTGTTGCCGGTGAGTTTTCGCCCTCGTTTTATCTGCGATTTATTACTAAATTCGTTATTATTTCGTATTGTTAGAGAAATGTGTGTGTGTATATAAGTAATATTCATGCATTTTATTATGCACTAGCTGGCACGACAGACGTCGTCCTGTCCTAATGTGGTTCTATGTCAAATGCAGGTTCATTTTCAAGATGAGCTCGTTCGCATGGCTCAATCACGTCCTGTTTAAGTTCGTTCGCTACGCTCACTCATCTTTAGGTTGGAGCTCGTTCGCTGCACTCACTTGCCTTCAGGTAAGCTCGTTCGTTACGCTAACTCGCCTCCAGGTTGAAGTTCGTTTGCTACGCTCACTCACCTGTTGGTTGCAAATTAGCTGTTGCTGTTGTCATAAATTAAAAAAAACTAATAGTGCTGCACCCTGTTGGTAAGCCTATTAACTTTTTAATGCTATTGAACATCACAGAATCAAATTGTTTAGTTGAACCAGCGGTTAAGATTCTTTATTTCCAAATATGAGTACTCATTAGGTTAAAAACTGGAAAACTCCAGAGCCACTGGGGCGGAGCCCTTTTGACGGATCTGCACAAAACTGCACACAAACCATCCTTGAATAATGCTTAATAATGCCTGAAAGTTTCATTACAATCTGTCCAGCGGTTTCGGAGTCCATAAAGGACAAACAAACAAACAAACATACAAACAAATAAACATACAAACAAAAAACATACAAACATTCAAACAAACATACATTGGATTTTATATATATAGATTAATATTTACTGAATAGTGTGTAATTGTGTTTATAAAATTTTGTATTTTTCTTGCGGTTGTATTTTGCGGTTTTCCGTTTACATTTATATTCCCTAACAAATATATACATATATATATCCCTAACAAGTAAAAACAAAAATTGTTACCCAACGTGTTATACATTTTTATGTAGGTAATTGAATACACTACAAGATGATTACGTTGGTTTGAAGTAAAAACATTTGGTACAAAAGTTTTATACTAAATACTGTAAATTTTTTTCACAAAATCGCTCAAATACAAAAACATTATTTTATTTATAAATAAAAAAAACTATTTTTACCACAAACTTTATGACTTTTTTGGATTCCTTACTTTATTAGCTTTACAAACATATATATCATTATTAGTATACACATATCTAATATATAAAATTCTCGTGTCACAGTGTTTGTCTGCAAACTCCTCCGGAACGACTTCACCGATCGTTATGAAATTTGGTGTGTAAATTCTGTAGGTATGCGAATCGGACGTAAACTATTTCCCGTTTCGAAATTCTTAAAAGGGCTCCGCCCCAGTGGCTCTGGAGTTTCCCATGTTAACCTTATGAGAAATGGAATTAATGAATCTTAACAGCTGTTTCAATTAAACAAGTTGGTTCTGTTCTATGATGTTCAATAGCATTAACGTTACAAGGATTACCAACAGGGTGCAGCACTATTATTTCTTTTACATTTATGACAACAGCTAATTTGCAACCAAAAGGTGAGTGAGCGTAGCGAACGAACTTCAACCTGGAGGCGAGTTAGCGTAGCGAACGAGCTCCAACCTAAAGGCAAGTGAGCGCAGCGAACGAGCTCCAACCCAAAGGTGAGTGAGCGTAGCGAACGAACTTCAACCAGGACGTGATTGAGCGATGCGAACGAGATCATCTTGAAAATTAAACGTAACGGTACTTTCTTTCCATCGGTCTGTCTTAGGGGAAACCTATAACTTAGGCGATTCGAAGTTCGCCGGGTCAGCTAGTATTATATAACTTTTTACAACACAAACTAACACTGTACGGTTTTCAATTTTTTCGGTTCTCCGTTTGTTATTATATTTCGCCCCAAAAACTTATAAAAAAATGATTTTCCTAACATTATATATATTTCTATGTAGGGAATTAGATTGTCTACAAAATGTATATAATGAATTTCCCATAAAAAATCTGTAGAAAAAATTTTACCGAGGCTGCTTTTAAAATTTCAAAAGAAAAAATTATATATTTCTTTCACTTTACCGAAAAAATACACTGTCCAAATCATTATTATATTACTATTTCTAGATTCTCCTGTTCTTTCCGAACAAAATGAATACAAGGTTGGCTAGGTTTACTTGTACGGTTGAATTTTTACGAATTTTCAAAAAAATCGCCAAAATGGGTTGGTCATTCCCCACTTCTAACATTGGTCACTGCTAGGGTTAAGGTGTAAGCAAATACCCCCGCCGCAGCAAACCTGCAGACTTAGCGAATTTCCATCTGCCTGATTGGATTTAAACTAAAATGTCTCCTTAAAAATATCACATTTATTCCCTATTTAAACAGAATTAGTTTAATGACTACTTAGGTTTGCTGCAACAGGGAGGGTAAAAAAGTTTTTTTAATGTAAAATATTAAAAGGTACTGTGGTTTAGTAAGAAATTAATGTATTTTCCAAATTTGATCAAAATATGTTAATAAACAAGCAAACTACAACAGTTGACTTATTCTCCGTAAGAATAACGTTGGAATTTTAAAATTACAATTTTTTTAAATTTTCTCCGTAACAATTAGGCGCATAATAACGCTTCAATATACTAAATTATTTGTTTTTTTAAGCTCTACAAAATGGTTTAACAAGAAATTGTGAAATTTTGTGTTTTTAGGGTCAAAAATTGGAAAAACCTATTTTTACCCCGTAAAACCCCCCATAAACCCCCGTTCCCATAGTCCGATCATGCTGGTTCGCGAACTCATTCAAGTTTATCCCGCCTTACACCTTCAAACAAAATTTTATCAAAATCGGATAAAAATTACTCAAGTTATCTTGCGGATGGACACATATATATGTATATATATCTAATATATAAAATTCTCGTATCACAGTGTTTGTCTGCAAACTCCTCCGGAAGGACTTCACCGATCGTTATGAAATTTGGTGTGTAAATTCTGTAGGTATGCGAATCGGACGTAAACTATTTCCCGTTTCGAAATTCTTAAAAGGGCTCCGCCCCAGTGGCTCTGGAGTTTCCCATGTTAACCTTATGAGAAATGGAATTAATGAATCTTAACAGCTGTTTCAATTAAACAAGTTGGTTCTGTTCTATGATGTTCAATAGCATTAAAGTTACAAGGATTACCAACAGGGTGCAGCACTATTATTTCTTTTACATTTATGACAACAGCTAATTTGCAACCAAAAGGTGAGTGAGCATAGCGAACGAACTTCAACCTGGAGGCGAGTGAGCGTAGCGAACGAGCTAACCTGAAGGCAAGTGAGCGCAGCGAACGAGCTCCAACCTAAAGGTGAGTGAGCGTAGCGAACGAGCTCCAACCCAAAGGTGAGTGAGCGTAGCGAACGAACTTCAACCTGGAGGCGAGTTAGCGTAGCGAACGAGCTAACCTGAAGGCAAGTGAGCGCAGCGAACGAGCTCCAACCTAAAGGTGAGTGAGCGTAGCGAACGAGCTCCAACCCAAAGGTGAGTGAGCGTAGCGAACGAAATTCAACCAGGACGTGAATGAGCGATGCGAACGAAATCATCTTGAAAATTAAACGTAACGGTACTTTCTTTCCATCGGTCTGTCTTAGGGGAAACCTATAACTTAGGCGATACGAAGTTCGCCGGGTCAGCTAGTCTCTATATATAGATATATAAAAATTTGAACCAATGGTGTTTTTGGCCTCTGAGGACATCAAAATGAAAAAGTAAATATGTCCCGGGCTTAGGTCTTACCATGAGACCTACGGTAATAGCTACTTCCCTATAGGGAAATTCGCTAAAACTAACAGAACCAAACTTTATCTTTGATCTTTTTATCTTTATCGGCTTCTGCTAGCTGGAGAATACCATTACACCAAATAAATGAAATATTTAAAATTGTAAAAACAACTAAGTGCAGTCATGTAAAAATTACAAATAACATATTTAAATATAGAAATAGAAATTGTTTAATATTGTATAGTAAAAAGAAGATTTTTGTGGACCAATAAACATTGAATTTAAAAGTTAATTCATGTATAAAATTTATTTAATAACAATTTTTCAATTTAACAAAACAATAAGAAACAACACTTTTACATAAACTAAATACATTTGCCAATAGTTTCCTCCAAAAATATATTAAGATCAGTCTCATATCTCAGGTCACTTTCCGTCTTTAATTGACAATATCATATATTTGATCATTCCCCCGATGCCATCATCAACCTCATGAAACTGGGCAACCCCGTACATGTAAGCTGGAGTGGAAAATACCAGGTTTTTGCGGTCAAATGTTGTCTCATTGACATCCTAAAACAAGACAATCAGAGTAAGTGAAAAGAATGTGTTACATTTCTATGGTCAAGATCATTTTGTAAAAGAGCCATGGCATTAAAAATGCATACAAAAAACTCACTCTTGTCAATTAAAATATTTAACAGACTTAAGTCATAAAAATTAGTCCTAAATAATTTTTGTCAGTTTTGTTCCACATACAATCAAAATTTAGCATTACCACACAACCCTATAGTCAGATGTCTTTTTAACCAGACTAGGAACTAATTCAATCAACACCCTTTCTTAAATCTTTACCTAGTACCTGGAATATTAAATTTTAAATAACAATCACTGATTCAAACTCTTTCTTTAGTTTCATGCTTGTAAACACATCAACATGAAGAACAGCTGCTTTGGACTGCTTCGGACCTCAAAATATAACCTGGGTTAAGATCACAAGCTTATTACAGTAATCACTTTCGTAAACAATAATTAATCCACACTTAAATACTTAAAGGGTTTTCAGTGCAATGGACACCAAGCGTCGCTGACCAGACAACTGACTCTATGAATGAACAACGCTACACCGACATCGACATCCCCTAATAAAGGCATTTTTTGAAACTATCATAACTCCGGTTAAGAAGTAGCAACTGCTGTAACTTTTTCTCAAGTTGTTCTTCTTCTATTATTATTGTAACTACAAACACTAACATTAGGTACCTATGTTTTCTAACATTTTTATTTCAAACTAGCCGCCATACCCATGCTTTGCAACGGGAAGAGAACACTAAAGAAAATAACAATGTTCTATAGATCTGCTGTATGAAACTGTAACTCATAAATAGCAGTTTTCAAAACTTTCACATCTATATATTATATTAGTTCCTTCCATCCAAGTCATTGACTTGATCAGTAATGTACTAAAAGTATTAACCGGCTACTCCTGTTTTCAGATATTGTTTTTGGGAAAAAAACACAATTCATTTTTATAAACATTTTGAAATAAAAGACAGTCATAAAATGATGAATAATGCAATTAACACGTTCGCTACTGCAATAGTACGAAATTTTTCATTCACATGGACCAGCGACGCACATATGCGACGGCCGGTTTCTACCCTAGTCACATTAAAATAGACCGCCGTCGCATATATGCGTCATTGTTCTAATGTTATTAAAATGCTTATATCTTTGTAACGGTCTATTTGACGGCACTGAATTTCCTGCAATAGTATACAGAGATGTCTGACGCACAACTGCGTCGCTTGGTCTGTGGATAGGATGATTGGTGACGTCATATGATAGTTGGAAAAACTAGTCTTGACTTTTCTGTTTGTTTGTTTGTTTGTTTGAAGTTCAATCACGCATAAACCACTGGATGGATTGGGCTGAAATTTGGCATGATGATAGCTCAGATTCCCGATTAACATATAGGCATTTTCTTATCTCAAAAATCCTTTCTGGCTCCGCCCCAGTGGCTCTGTGGTTTCCCATGTTAACCTTATGAGTATTCATATTTAAAGGGAATTAAAGAATTTAGTCAGCTGTTTCAACTAAAATATTTGGTTCTATCTAAGGGAGTATGTTTTATCTATGTTTCTATGATATGTAAAAGCATTAAAAAGTCATAAGATTTACCAACAGGATGCAGCAATATAATTTTTTTTTGCATTTATGTAAAAAACTAATTTGAACCAAGCAGCAACAAAAAACTGTGATATGCAATGAGAACTGAGTAGGATTGTTTACAGTTATGTTTATGTTTTTAATGTCATGAATAATTTGTGATTTTTTGCAATTTTTTAATAATTTATTTTTCTTTATTGTTTTGGTGAAAAGGTAGAACATTATGGCTATGGTAGATGTGTAATACCATAGTATACCGTGAATTTAAAGAAGCAAATTTTATCAAACTGTGCCATCCCCCATTGCACACGCAAAGCTTGAGTATAACTGCAATAAGCATTTTAAACTTACATGCCAACCCCGTACAAAGGACGGGTACTCTGCTAGTATATATATAGATATTTATTGTGGAGAAAGACTTATCAATGACTTACAAAAGACCATTATGGTAGCTCTCTTGGCCATTCCCTATTCGTAAATGATATTCAACAAAATATTGATTCACTTGGATTTGATCTCGTGTTTTTAGCATATTTTTAAACATTGGCTATAAAAGTGATATCATTATTGAATTATCTACCATTTTACAGCGACTCTCGCCAGGGAATGTGGTAGCGTATTGCCGAAAATCACCTCCAAAAACCTTTTCACCAAAAGGCTTTTCTTGGTCTTCTCTTCTGGCAATATCTCGCAGTAATCATCACACAGACGGTAAAGCATACTTATTAGACATAGAAGCTTCATCCCTTAGTATTATTTTACAAATCCTTATGTATTTAGCTACATTCTATTGGATTTTGTTCTGGAGATTGCGGACTCATTTAATTGCATTGGCAATTTAAATCTGTTGTGAACTGTAGGCTAAGATTTCCTAAGCCAAAATAGTCTGATGTGACAGCATCTGTCCGTGCAATATTAAAATAATCACGAGATCACATAACATTGCTTTGAATTTCAAAAACCGGCATAGGTAAATTTTCACGATTCCTTATCATAAGATCTCTGTTATATCTCTGTAATATGTCGTCGAATCGCAATCTCGGATTGTTTCTTCTCTGTTGCACTTTATGATAGCCTAGTCAAAATTAAAAGTTGGAAAACACAACACATTAAAATACCTATGATAACGTTTAACACACCATATCTGAAAATAAAATATAATCACACAAAGAAATAAACTGATATTTAGGCTACTCCAGCTTTTGGTATAATATTATTTGATTAACGTAACAGCTGTAAACATTCAGCGTTTTTGACACAAATTCAGCATTTGGATGAAAATGAAATGACATGCATAGGGTTGATTTATTTATACTATGTGTAATGCTATAATCATTGATACGTTCATTTATTCGGTAAGAGCATGAGAGATAATTTAAATATACATAGTAAAATACTAGATGTTCTAACTTATTTTTTTTTACAGTCTTTAAAATCTTTAGTTTGTTTTAGTGCAATTTGTGTAACTAACTGCTGGTTGAATACAAAAATATTCTATTGAACTATGAGGTTAGTTTACTCTGTGATTTTGTCATTGATAGGGGTGGGCGAGTACTCGACCTTCGAGTAGTTACTCGGGTTTTTTCAAATACTCGACCTCGAGTCGAGTAGTAATTACTACTCGAAAATTCGAGTCGAGTAGTTATAAATAGTGCCAATTCACGATTTTCCACACCCGTATTTAATCAATTATATTTGTTTTGCGTTGATGCCTTACTTAATCCCCATTCCTACAAAAAAAACTATCTAAATTCGTATAGGCTAGACCAGCATAAACCAAATGTTCAACAAACAACCATTGTCATTCGGCAGAGCTAGCAAGAGGACTACTAACTTAGACTTTCACTCTCCTACAACACAACAGATCTTGATAACGATACAGTAAGTTAAACTAAATAAAGCATTGAATGAATCTATCGAGTTGCAATAGTCAATAGTCAACAAGGGAGTCTCGTGCGTGACTAGTATATCATAGGCAGACCGGCAGACGGTTCTTGAAGATATTATAAAGTACAGTAGCAGATTTAGTTTGAACTGTCATAAAAATATTTTATACCAAAATCAAAATATAGAAATACAACAAATAAAAATAACCTATTATTGCATAATAGTTTTTCACTTTAATCGGTATTGGTGCTTAGTTTAACAAATCGATAAGTTACTGCAAGGAACATACATCTGAATGACGCAATCTCATTGGGTCTTGGCATAAAGAAAAGATCAGTTCCACTTCAAACTCAGTGTTGCCAGATGGACGATAATTTTTGTACTTTTACAACTATGGTATTGGCGTAAACAAACTATAAGTATAATTTTCTAATGAGTTTACATAAACATGATTTAAATTAGTCGAACTATTAACTTTTTTTACAAATTAAAAGCTATAGCAATTTTATAATAATTTTGCCGACATTCACCATAATGGTGTGATGATAAATATGGCAACGTCAGCCCTGCAAAACAGCTGGTTGATGGGAAAACAAAGCAGAAGCAGAATGAGCAGACCGACTAGACTGACTAGGACTAGAGTGAGAGAGAGAGAGAGAGAGAGAGATGGTGACGGCTGAAGGAGTAACAACAAAACAAAACAATGGATTGGAGTGAACTTAGGTCAACATCAGTTTTGAATGTTTTTACTTTGAAGTGAATTTGTAACTCAAAATAAAATTGATTTTGTTTAGAGGAAGTTTAATAGAAAGTAAAAAAAAAACATATTCTGTTTGTGATTTTGATTGTGCAATTTTCAATCTGGTGGCAGAAACATGACAACTACAGTTTGAAAATGTGAGTTTATTAAAGAAAGGCCAAATAGGCTACACCGGGCTACAGTAAAATGTGTTTTTATTTTAAATTAAGAGTTTAATGTGGGATTTTATTTCAAAATAATAGGCCTACTACGTTTTGTTTGCTATTTTCAGTCTGTCAGAGACAACTGACTTGATCATTCTTATAAATGTAATGGGTGAAGAGGATAGCCCTAGTACCCAAAATTTTCAAACTTAAGACAGATGAAGTGCTTATCCAAGTGATTATTTTAAAATACCTTATTGCATATTTATGTTTTTAACTTATGATATATGTAGTTTCATATTAGTTTATCTGTTTTATAAATAAATTAATTTTTACAAATTCTGTTTCTTAATTGAATTGAAATTATTCTTAAAGTTACCTTATTATTCTTATTAAGTTAGTTACCCAGGTTGATTATCATGTAAGTGAGGAGGAAGAAAAGGAAAAAAACACACAGTAGTGTCATCGTCAATATGCGTGATTCGATCAACTCGATATCACGGACGATCAGTTAATATAAAATATCAGAAATGACAAAAATAAATGTGAACAAAAACCATCTTCTTTATTTCATTCCACACAACAACACACTAAAACTATTATTTGTTTTTAAC